AAAATTAATTAGACACTGATCTAGCAAAGCACTTTAAGCACATGCTCAATTCAAAACACTGAGATCAATGGGACTGCTTACATACTTAAAATTAACCACAGGCTTAAAGTGTTTTTCTGGATCAATGCCTAAAAGTCTTCCTTTGTTTGCAAGTACTAAGACTCACAACAAATAACAACCGGAGTCAAAACGATCATTTTGGTTTGCCTACCAAATATATTTTCCTCGCATATAGCATGCTAATATGCTTCTGAGACTCAATAGTCTACTAATCTATATCACTGAAATTGTGAGATCTGCTTTTATACAGATGGAGGGATTTTTAGCTGAAAGTCAAAATGACGCTACTATGAGACATTTTACAGAGAAGCAGCTTTGTTACAATGTGGCCAAAAATCCAAGTGCCTGGAAAAGATCAATGTTAGTCAGGCACAGAACCAAGATTTGTTAGCAAGGAAAGAGGACAATGTAGCACTGGGGTGTGTTACATTTTAATGTAAGCATGCTCAAAAATGGTTCAGCTGGAAGTGACATTTCCTGTGCGCAAATATTTGTAAATTATCCTACATGTAACCATAATTGTGTAAATATTTTGAGCTTCTAATACCCTTAGAACTACTGGTTGTCAAACTTCTTAAAATTTTAAAATTACATTTATTCTTTGAATTTAATAATTGCATAAACATGTTATAGCTGGAATAGGATCCACTTCCACATGAAACACTTCCTCCAGTGTTCTCTGTGGTAATTAATAGACAATGAAAGTAAAAATTTATTAATGTGTGTTACTGCCAAAACCATATTCCATGAACTTTGTGTATACAGCTTCATGACACAGAGTCAGTAATTTTGTAAATGTTCTTGTTACTAAAATGGTTGTTATGCCACATTGGAAATTTGAGAACCACATTCATTTTCCTTCAAATGTCCTTCCAATTTGGTATATTTTTAAATTTTCTCTTTCTAGCTTGAAAGAAATAAACCTTCGTCTTTTATTTCTTGGTTTGCACTAGGATCTAACATAATGTCTACACAGGTTCAAGTCATCATAACACCATGTTGTTCCCTTTATTGGCATTGGCTTTGCCTAGGTTCTATGTGAAATAATTCTCAACAAGTGAGTGGTAAAGTGATAATTAGGATTTGGAGACTATTTTCCATCAATTATACAGCAACTAATTTTTATTTACCTAATCCTGCAATAATATTGGCACTGGCAGACTTATGCAGCTGCATGGAGTCCTATGCGTTTAACTGATTTCTGCACAAGTAGAGGGTGTGGATCCAATTGCAAATTGAGGATTTAAGATACTACAGCCTAAAAGCTTGGATGGCATCACTATCTACAATTAGTTACAGACTTTGTTAAAGATGTTAAGGCTTTGTAAGAATGGCACTATAGTTTGGGATCACAGAAACACAGAGATGCCATTCCTTCTTCATCCTCAATATTTCATTCGGGTACCTTATTTTAACAATTAAAATCAAGAATTTTATTTTTCATTTTAAAACTCATTTGTCAAAATTGGATATGCAAACTTACTCCTGAATATGGATTCAGTTCTGCTTTCTATACCTAACTATCGATGATAAGTGCTGGTCAGCAGTTAATTAACCAAGCAACCTCAAGAAACGTCAATGGCTCTGAGCTGATAAGCGCCAGAGGAGGGTAGTGGAACCCTTGATGGAAATAAAGCCATGAACAGGCAGATAAGCAAATTCACACAGTGTTGATGCGAATGACATCAACACAGGTCAGATTAGGCCATTCAGATCTGGCTGATAACCAATCGAAGAGTGAAGCCCCAAAAGGCACACAGATGGAAGATCTCTGCACTGATGACTCCTGCAGCATAGCTGGTTCCAAATGTATTGACTCCCCTCCTTCCTTTGGTCTGAACCAGTGAAGTCAAGGGAAGGGGAGGGGGGGCTCTGACAGGTGAACAAAGCAATGCCTCCATACCAACTGCCCAGGCTATTGCAGCCACATCACATGGAGAGGATATTCCATGTTATAAGCTCTCACTTGAGTGGCATAGAGGATGACGCCACAAGTCACCTTCAATGATGGGAGGAATCACTATGTTCTACTGGCCATCCACCAACCAACACAAAGCTGGGCAGCGTTCGGATAGTCAGGAGCTGATCTGTCATGGTCTGTCCACCTCATGGGGTGTGTGGAAGTTGAAAGGCAGACAGAAACCTTGCACCTGGCACAAATAAAAACCCAAGGACTTTCAAATTGGGAAGATGGAATGTCAGGACCATGTGACTGATAGTGACCTATAATACACAAGCAGCATATGACAGTCAGCTTTGATAGACCATGAGATGTACAAACTCAATGTAGACACTGCAGTACTTCAGAAAATAAGACTTGCAGATTCTGGTTCTTTCCAAGAGGGCAATGAGACCTTCTGGTGGCAGGGTAAAAGCGAAGAAAACTATGCACAGTGTGGGTTTTGCTGTGAGAAACAAGTGGATAAAGCTCCTAGCAACACCCATGAGAATTCAGAGTGTACCATGCAATCATAGAACTGGAAGGAACCTTAATAGGTTATCAAGTCCAGTCTCCTGCACCCATTGCAGGACCAAGCACCATCTAGACCATGCCACACAGGATTTTGTCTAATCCGCAGTTAAAAATCTCCAATGCTGGCGATTCTACAAGTTCCCTAAGCAATTTATTCTGGTGCTTAACTGCTGCGAGAGTTAGGAAAATTTTTCCTTATGTCCTACCACCCTTTCTATAATTTAAGCCCAATGCTTCTTGTCCTATTATCAGAGGTTCAGAAGAATATTTTTTCTCCCTCCTCCTTGTAACAACATTTTACCTATTGGAAAAGTATTATCATGACCCCTCTAAGTCTTCAATTTTCCAGACTAAACAAACCCTATTCTTTCGATCTTCTCTTATAGGTCATGTTTTATAGATCACTAATAATTTTTGTTGCTCTTCTCTGCACTTTTCCCAATTTGTCCACATCTTTCCTGAAACGTGGTGCCTAGAATTGGACACAATACTCCAGCTGAAGCCTAATCAGTGAAGAGTAGAGTGGAGGAATTACTTCTCATGTTGTGCTCATTGCTCCTGATAATGGATCCCAGAATGCTGTTTGCTTTTATCTGCAACAGTGTTATACTGCTGACTCATATTTAACTTTTGGTTCCCTTTCTTACTCCTTTGTGGTTGAATGCTATTCAAAGCAATACACACAAGAAACAAATATCACCAGCAAATCACTTGACCAAATACCAACTCTACAGATCATGCCAGAGCTAGATGTGGAGCCCATTGTCAAAGAAATAAGCAAGGTAATTAATCTGCTATCAAGGTGGAAGGCTCCTGGAAAAAGATGGCATGCTACCGGAAATCCTCAAGTACAGGAAACATGGCTCATTACCATATATTCATCAGCTGCTACTTAAATACTGGAAAAAGGGTAAGGTACCACAACAGATATGTGATGCAAACTTCATCAGACACACTAAGTTGACTTTTCCTGCTACACTTAGTACTGAAATATCTCTGCAGTTATTGCAGGCATGGATTTCACGTGAGATATCTCAGTACTAAGTGTAGCAGAAAAGTCATCTCAGTGTGTCTACGACAGCTGGAGAATCATGTCTACCCTGAATCACAGTCCCAATTCAGGGCTGGAAGATCAATTATAGACATATTTTCTCTGTCAATTCCAAGAAAAGTGAAAAGAGCAAAACCAACCATTGTACATTGCCTTTGTGGATCTAACCAAAGCATTTGATGCAGTCAGCAGAGCACATTTGTTTGTAATACTAGAAAACATAGGATGCCTACTAATCCTGTAAAGTCTTATATATTCGTTCCACAACAACATGGAAGTAACTATCCAGTTTGATGGCTTCCCTTCAGACATCTTTAAGGACATGTTCTTCCCCCTATGCTCTTTGGAATCTTCTTTTCAGTACTCTTGAATGGTGGATTTAAAATCCTTCAATTACCTTAAGTGCAAACCATCCAGAAGTAGTCCAACAATTCATCTATTTTTAGGTTCTTCAGTGACCACTGTCACTGGATGAAGAACTAAATGTTCGCATTGGAAAGAATGCTTTAGCAGACTAACTAAAGAACATGGAACAACTCAAAGAAAAAAAATAAAGCTTTTCCCAAATAACTCATTCTCAGTGTTCTTTTCCTTTTATATATCTATCACAGTAGTCTTCAAATTTGTGATCATATTATTAGATGTATATGTATTAAATTTGTTGGGGGGAAAGTGGTATTGCATTATATTATTTGAAAAATTATATGTAATCACATAACTAATGGCTATCTTGTATTACATACATTCATAAAAGTGAGAGTTACACTTGTGCAATAGGTCTCAATTTCACATTTTCTGACTTTTGAACGCTTAACAACTTTAACATTAACCAGAGCTTTATAGCCAAAAAGTTTTTAAAAAAGGTAACAAATTTAAATAGACAAATCTGGCCAAAAGTGACTTAGGAGCCTGGAAATAGGACCATGGAAATTTTACCCCAAGTTTCTAAGTAATAAGATGTGGAAATATCTCAGCTTGTATCTGCCAAGTTCTGTATGATAACAGGCAAAAGGTCAGGGGGCCACCCCATGTGCAGTGATTTCTTTATTAGGCACTTTAAGAAATGTCATTATTATTGTTATAAATATGCATTGTTCATTATGTTAATGTGGATAAGAAAGTCAAGACCTCCACAGTTATAACTGCTCCCTGAATGCTTCTGAATACTTAGCAGATTCTTCCTTTAATTCCCATCATTTTATAAAACTGAGCAATAAGACACACAGCACATATTTATGTTTATTATTAAAGCAACTAAAATAAGATAGGGACAGAAGAGGCCATGAAGGGATGGTTTTGCAGTGTTGGCTGTATACAAATCCAGCCATTCCAAACCTATGCTGACCTCAGATGTAGCAATTGCAGACAATATGCATTGTCATCATCAAGTGCTCAGTGCTGCAATGCAGCCCTTACCTCATTACATGAATACATTCTGGCTCCTTGGTGAAGCTGTAGGCGTAACCACTGGATGTTGTGCCAAAATCAATAGCCACAACAACAAGAAACGACTGCTCTATAGTGTCATTTGCATCAGGGTCCTTCTGTTAAAATAACAGAAACAGAACAGATTTTGCGTCACTGTTTAGAAAAAGAATTGTAATCTATCCTACCTCTCAGTGGCTCTGAACTGCAGCAAAGAAAGCATTCCTCTGACTCCTGCAGAGAAATGTGGTCCTTGAGAATCATGTCATTAGGCTATATCCATTAATGGGCATGGAAATGCAACAGACAACCAAGTTAACAATTAATTTTGGTACCTTTAACACAAATCTAAATGAATCAAAATTCCTTTTGTTTTACTTCCAGTAATAGCTGAGACCTATAAGGTTAGCTACTAAATTAGAATTGCATTAATTGAAAAACATATTATACCTGTGTGTATCTAATATGGAATACATGACAGTGATATGATATATGGAAGTTTATAAAAGTTATATCAGCATGGGAGGTAGTCAGACTGCTTAGAATTGGTGAAGCTAAGTTGAAGTATGCAGATTACTCCAATAACTGCCAATAAAGCTTTATATCACACAACAGCACTGCATATGCAGTATCTTTTACGGAAAACCTATTCTGGAAACATTCTACAGATTGTCCTGGGACTAATTCTGGTATCCTGCTGCCTATCCCCCTTCCTGTAAATTTGTGGACCATAGTTACAATCAGTTTAATTTGACAGGACCCAGAGAAAGAAAAATTTTAATGAATAGAATACATCTCTAAAAACATCTTTAACCAGCATTTCTATCCACAGAAGCATATGCTGAAGATCCAACAGGAAAACCATGATTTTCTCCATTACTCAGGCACACGCTCCCCCATTTCTAGCTATGTGCACGTATGAAATAACTGTCCTTTAACTAATTACTGGCTTAAAACTAAATACTGTTTGTTCTGAGTCCTGTGCCACTATCATTTGTAGGAAACAGGAAGGAATATTTTGTGGCGGTTCAATTTTTTTTTAAGACAAAGACAATTATTTGAAGCTGCTCAGGAAGCTGGACTAATGGAATAAATCCTGGCAGAGATAGATTAGTGAAAAGAGTGTAAGTGATGCATGATAAAATTGTACTTTTTTCATGTTTCTATCATTTATCACATAGCCCATTTTTGGATTTTGCCACCATGGACATGGAAAAAACTGTATTGTATGCAAAACTTAATTCAACCTGAACTATGCAATTGCAACCAATGCCTCCAGAATTAGAGATGTAAAATTTAAATTACCTATCTATAGTCAATGCAATTTGCATTGACTATTCGATTACTCGATAAGGGCACCTCCGCCTTTGAAGTGTAGCCCCAGGGCTGTTGCTACACTTCAAAGGTGAAAGAGCTGCACGGAGCATGGGGCCAGTCAGGGACTGCTTGAGTACCCTACTGGCCCCGTGCTCTCTGTGGCGTTTCAAAGTGACAGTGCCACATGGATTCCGGGGTCAGCTGGGAAGCTCCACACAGCGCTGCCTCTGTGAAACATCATGTTCAGCCCAGGCCAGCTGGGGACTCCCAGCTGGCTTCGGGCTGCACATGGCATTTCAAAGTGGCTGCACTGGGTGGAACCCAAGATCTGGCCCCAGGCTCAATATGGCACTCATGCTTTGAAGCACCCCCTCCTCTTTCCCCACCCCTTACTGCCTCTTTATAATAGAGGCAGCAAGGTGGGGAGAAGCGACTAGTTCACATACCTATCCAGAATACATAACACATCTTGCATTTTTAATGCCTTTATCTGAGAGATGTCAAAACACTTTTTGACACAGCCTATGTTTTTATTACATCTTAAAGGGACATTAACACTTATCTTGTTCAGTTTGAAAAACCTGGAAGGTGATCACCCATAGAAGTTCTTGCCCTAAATTGTCAAAACTGACTACAGGTTGAATCTCTCTACAAATGCTTTACAACGCCAATTTCCCCTGCCACTGACATCCTCATTTTCACAGCAAAAGCTATGAATGGGACACATCCAGTCCACTTAATTAGCTTCATTAAAATGGGTCCTACAATTGACTGACACTTTTTTTTGCTATTATACATATCTTGGATTCTGTTATTTCCATTCCAACTCATCTGATGAAGTGGGTCTTACCCACAAAAGCTCATGATGCTATGTATTTCTGTTAATCTCTAAGGTGCCACAGGACTATTCGTTTTTAAATATTTCAGAGTTATTAACAACCACCATTCCAGCGGTGTTCATAACTCTGTGATATTTGATTTGGCAATGTCAGGAACTTAGCTATAATGGGTGGAGGATGCCAAAGAAATTAATGAGATGGGGGGAGGAAGAGGGATAGTTAAGATAGGTTAAAGAAGCAGCTTTTAATGGGACCTTTTCCTTACTTCTTAGGATGTTCCCCTTAGACAACTGAAAATGTTTTATTTTTCATTGTGATGAAAAAGGGAGAAAGAGATAGGACAAAGAGAATGATACATATGTGTTGAGATACCAATATTATCACTTTCAGAGAACAGGGAATATTTCAGGGACTGCCAAGATGACAGCAAGAGAATGACAAAGATGGTCACAGAAGGGACTATTATGTAGGGTGATAGTAGACTGACTTATGTAGATGGGTGTCACTTTCCTCTACATCTGTCGTTATATATTTTGGATGGAATTCTGGCCCTCTTGGAGACAATGGCAAAACCACCAGTGACTTCAATTGGGCCAGGATTATATTCTTTATCTCTTCTGATTGAGCTAATGAAATTGTTCCATTAGCTTTTTTCACATATGCTGTGAGTTCTGTAACTGATGCTCGGCAGGCTAAGGAGTCAGGAGTTCTGAGTTCTTATAGATGAGAAAGACAGGAGAAAATAATGACAATATATCATACGACATATACCCTATATTTCTTACCGCAATATGTGATGGAGACAAAGGTGTTATTCCAGGGTCTCCTAAACTTTTAGCCGGGGATGAGTAAGCAGATGTGGAAACTACATCTGAAAGAAAACAAAAACTCTTCAACAACAAGAATATACAAAAATGTCTTTGCATCAGAACAAGCAGATGAGTATTAGAATAATTTACTTTCTCTACCAGTGTACAATTTGTTTTTTGTGACAATCCTACCATTAAAGCAGCCATAAAGAAGGTAAATTCACAAAATCAAGCTCTCTTATAAATTATGGTATATTATTTTGGTTTTTAAAACTATTACAAATATTGCTGATTCTTTTGAAGATTTTCTAGTTGACATGTTCCAAGTCAGGTGGAGTCTGTAATGATAAAAAGTCTCAGAGAGGTAGCCGTGTTAGGCTGCAACTGAAAAAAAGTAAAACACAACAAATGGTCCTGCAGCACCTTAGAGACTAACAAAAATGTGCCCATGAAAGCTCATGATACTGTCTACATTTTTATTAGTCTCTAAGGCTATGTCTACACTGCACGATTATTTCAGAATAAGCTATTCTAGAAGAAATACTCCAAAATAGCTTATTTTGAAATATGACGTTTACACTACAGGGAAGCCTGGAAATTAGTCCGAGGCAGGCTCCCCAAATGTGGCTGTGCTACCTCAAGTTTGAACCCCAGGAAGCCCTTGGGAGTAATTACTTTGAATGGCCTGGGAGAGGAGCACTTTCAAAATAGCAGCAGTGGAGTGTCCACACTACTGCTATTCCAAAACAGCTATTTCGGAAGAGGCGTTTTTCCTCATAGAATGAGGTTCACAAATGCTGAAATCAGCTGCCTGGTACTTTGAAATTATTTCAAAATAACGGGCTAGCTGTGTAGACACTTGCATAGTTATTTCAGAATAACAGGCATACACTTCTGCCAGCCGCTTATGGTTAAAATTTGAGAATTCCTGCAAACACAGCAAATGAATACAAGATGTAAGATCAAAAAGGCTAATTTCAATAGAAAAAAAGCAGTTTAAATCAATTTGATAAATCCATAGGCGCAAATTGCAGTTACTTTGTCATGAACATTTATTCTTAAAAACTCTTAATGTTCTGTTTATTCTCTTTAAACACTCCACAGTGAAACACATGGTACAGCTGTTGGTAGTGCTGCAGTAGTGATCCCAGCTGGGAGGCAGGAAAACACCATTAATGAATTATCCGGGAATTATTTGGTTTTGCATACATTTAAAATCTATTTTTATATGCTTTCATTTACCAAAATGTTTAAAATCAACTGCCCATGAGCCTCAGTCACAGAATGATCTTTTAGAACGTCTTTGTAACGACCTGATCTACAGATGTGTCAAGAAACCACAATACCAGTTAAAGTATGGGAAATGAACATGCTCAGGACTGCTGAAAAACCAGGCCGTTGGTCATTTTAAACCTGCAAAACCAAACCCACCACTGTATCTTAGACGTGACTGGTTAACCAGTAAGCATCACCCTTAATGGGCTAATGCTTACAGGTTATGATTAACTGGCGGGGGCTAAAGCAGCCCCCCATCCACCTGGCTGTGGAGGGGGTAGAGGCGCTCCAGCCCAACTATGTGGGAGCAGCCCCCCCCACTTCCTCCCCAGTTTAATTGGTTAACCAGTTAAACAATGTTTAACTGGTCAGTTAAATGCAATTTTGCATCTCTACTATATTTGAGCATGTTTAAAAACACCCACAAACAAAAACAGATTAACAAATATCAGCTCCCAGTCTCCTATGACCACAACATGGATTCATCCCACCAACACCTCAGGTTTGCAAATACCTGAATAAATAGAGGAACTGAGCCTTGGATTTTACTGAACCAAGAGAAGGAGAGAATTCCAGAGCATGGAATCACCTTGGAGAACTCAGCTCAAACATAGCAAACTGAACTTTTAATCAAAACTTATTATTTATTGTGTAATTGCAGCATAAAAGGCCGGAGACAGCAGTTTCATCATGTCATTTACACATTTAATAAATAATTTGGTGACATTTCCCAATGCTACTGACAACTAATTTGCAATGATGAAGAAAACTTCAATATCTGAGTTATGGACTAACAAAGTGGCATTGATATTATCAGAGAGTTGCCATGTATGTGAATGAATGAATGAATGAATGAATGAATGAATGAATGAATGAAGTTTATGATGCTTGGGAGCCAGAAAGGTGTTTATAGAAAGAGGCTGTGGGAATCCAGTTTCTCACACTCCATTCATCTTTGGATTAATAGTGTTTTCATCATAAGTAAGGAAATGATTTACTAACCAGTGAATGATTAATTATATGTAGGCACTCTGTAGCACAAGATTTCATCTAGCAAAAGGACTCTCCTGAAATTTTTAAAGATCTATTGGGTGCATATTTTTACTTTTAATTTTTAATCTCATTCAGGCAGTCCCCGACTTACACGGATCCGACTTATGTTGGATCCGCAGTTATGAACGGGGCTTTTCTCGCCCTGGAGGACGCGGGCGGCGGGACCGCTCAGACGCACCGCGGTCCTGCGGCCTGCGTCCTCTGGGGCGAGAAAAGCTGCTCCGCGTCTCCCTGGTCTGCTGGGACCCCCCCGCCCCCAGCAGACCAGGTTTTTCTCGCCGACGCCTGGGGTAGAGCTGCTGGGTTGGTCCAGTAGCACCGTTCCTCGGCGCTACTGGACCAACCCAGCAGCTCTACCCCAGGCGTCGGCGAGAAAAACCTGGTCTGCTGGGGAGGGGCGCAGCTAGTGCGCCCCCCCCCCCCCCCAGCAGACCAGGGAGACGCGGAGCAGCTTTTCTCGCCCCAGAGGACGCAGGCCGCAGGACCGCGGCGCGTCTGAGCGGTCCCGCCGCCCGCGTCCTCCAGGGCGAGAAAAGCCCCGTTCATAACTGCGGATCCAACATAAGTCGGATCCGTGTAAGCCGGGGACTGCCTGTATAAAGCCAGAACTTGGGGGAAAGTTTCAAAAAAACAAAACCTTATTCTAGATAGTGTCATGATATAGAGAATAACAGTCCTTTTAAAAAGAGGATATTTATCATAGAAAATGTTAAATTATAGACTGAGGTGAGCAATAAGTGGCCTGCAAGCTGTACCTGACTCATTAGGTTACTTTCTTTACCTGAGCAAAGTCAGTGGCTTCCCACAGGCTGGGCCACTACTTCCCACAGATCCCTGTGGTTGGGAACATCAAACTGTGGATAACAGAAGCTGCAAGCCGCCATACCTCTGGACACTCTGGTAAATAAACATCTTCTGGCCTGCCAGTGCTAACCCTGGCAAACCATATTTGGCCTGTGGGCCACTTATAGCCCACTCCTCTTATAGAACCAACCAAAACACACAGACACACAGTTCAAGTTCCAGCTTCATCTCCCTTGTTTATCAGGGACCAAAGTCCAAAGCAGACTGTGAAGTGCTTCAAAAGGATCTCACAAAACTGGGTGACTGGGCAACAAAATGGCAGATAATTCAATGTGGATAAACACAATAATTCATATTGGAAAATACAACCCCAACTGTATGTATAAATAATAGGAACTAAATTAGCGGTTACTACTCAAGAGAGAGATCTTGGAATTATTGTGGATAGTTCTCAACATCCACTCAATGTGCAGTGGGAGTAAAAAACAGCAAACAGAATGTTGGGAATCATTAAGAAAGCGAGAGAGACTAAAACAGAGAATATCTTATTGCCTATATATAAATCCACAATATGCCCACATCTTGAACACTGTGTGCAGATGTAGTCATTTCATCTGAAAAAAAAAAAACACCTTAGCACTAAAAAAGGTTCAGAAAAGGGCAACAAAAAATGGTTAGGGGTATGGAGAGGTTACTATAGCAGGAGAAATTAAGACTGGGACTTTTCAGCTTGGAAAAGAGATGATTAAGGGTGATATGGCAGAGATCTATAAAATCATGTCTGGTGTAGAGAAAATAAATAAAGAAAAGTAACTTACTCCTTCCTATAACATAAGAACTAGGGGTCACCAAATGAAATTAATAGGCAGCAAATTTAAAACAAACAAAAGGAAGTACTTCTTCACACGATGCCCTGTAAACCTTTGGAACCCCTTCCCAGATTATGTTGTGAAAGCCAAGACTATAACAGAGTTCAAATAAGAGCTAGATACTAAATTCACAGAGGATAGGTCCATCAATGGCTGTTAGCCAGGATGGGAAGGGATGGTATCCCTCGCCTCTGTTTATCAAAAGTTGGGAATGGGCAACAAGGGAGGGATCACTTAATGATTACCAGTTCTTTTCTTTCCTCTGGGAGATCTGGCATTGTTCACTGTCAGAAGACAGAATACTGAGCTAGATGAACCTTTGTTCTGACCCAATATGGCTGTTGTCATGCTTTATGTTCTATCTCCAGCAGGTGCACCATCTTTAAAATAATATCCTTTATCAAGCTACATAACACAGACAACTAGTGGCTGAATGATATATGGTAAACAAATATTTAATCACTGATAGCTTGTAAATTGCTCACCTAAGGCAGTTGAAAGAGTTTGATCATAAGTACAGATTGAAATCTGGAATATTACAAGTCCCAGAAACAAACTATTAACGTTTAAAATAAAAAAGTAATTTAGTTAAATTGGTGCAACCTTCTTGCAGGGACTTTTTAAACTCAATTTTAAAGGGTGTCTAAAATCAATTGACCTTTATCAGCATTTGCCTCTCTCAAAATGAGTTAAGAACATCAACACAAGTGGTTTGCACTGATTTAGCTAAAACTATTTAGAAAATGATTTGACCATACCAGTGCAATTTCTGTGAGATTCCAGAAGCTTCAAAAAGTGATTTTGTTGAAGGATTTGGAAGCCATAGTTCCCAGAGAAACTCTACCTACAGATGCACATCTAATTTCCACAATTTGTTCCACACTGCTTCAAAATCTGGGTAAAACTTAGTAAAGCTACCAGAAATCAGTTAACACCAAAATGGGTATTGCTAAGGCCTTGCATGTTTGTGTATACGAAGTAAACCTGGCTATCTGAGACTGAGCTGTGCCTAGGTGTTTTCTTCATTGTCTTGCGTAAAGAGCAAAAGATACAACGGAAAG